AGTGAGCTCCATCTCAACAAGGCAGACAGGCCCCTCCAACTCCACGAGAGAAGACAGCTCCGTTTACCCCTCAATCGGCAAGAAGAGACCTCCTTTCTCTTTAAGTAAAGGAAAGAGATCCTGACAGTCCCCTTTACGTTTTCAACGGATGCAAGAGAGCATACGCTCAAGAAAAAACAGTGGAGCCCCCCCTAACCTTCAAAGAAAGAAATCTGGTCCCCCCCCCTGTCTTCAAACAGAAAAGGTAAATCCCCCACCTCATGTTCCAAAACAAGAAGAGAGTCCCGCCCCACCCCACACCCCGCAAATTATTCGCGGTAAAAGAAGCGAGCCTCTTTCTAGCAGAAAGCTCCTTTTAAATCTTAAGAAGTCGCCTTCGAATCTTAAGAAGATGGAAGGGACCTCGCTCCTGGCAAGAGAGGAGGCTTCCAAAACCAAAAGTCCCCGACCTCATCCTCGACAAGAAGAGACGGAGAACCTCCAACAAGTTAATGACAAAGAAGAAAGCTCCATCTCAAACACAAGGACAGATAAGCCTCTCCAAACTGTCGAACAAGAAGACAGCTCCGTTTACCCCTCAGTCGGAAAGAAAAGACCTCCTTTCCCCCATGGTAAGGGAAAGAGATCCTGACTATTTCCTGTACCTTTCAAAAGATGGAAGAGAGCATACGCTCAAGAAGAAAAGGTGGAGCTCCCTGCAACCTCCACACAAAGAAGTCTGCTCCTCCCTCAACTTTCAACAAGAAAGAGAAAAACAAGATGAGGGTTCCCCCCAAATTATTCGGTGGTAAGAGACGGGGGGCGTTTTCTAGAAGAGAGCTCTTGGTAACTCTCAGTTTTGAGGAGAATGAAGAGACCTCACTCCTAGCCAAACAGAACACAGCCCCCCCAAGCCTTCAAAAACAACGTCTGACTGACTCTCGACCTAATCATCGAAACCGACAAGGAAACTCCCTCCAATTTCACGAGCAAGAAGAGGGCTCCTTTAGCCTTTGGCTCTTGGTAGAAGACGAGATCCCCTGGCAGGTCCTTTACCCCAACAACTCAGAAGAGAGGCCCCTCTGACTTCTCGAGAAAGAAGAGAGCTTCGATTGCCTCTTAGCGGACCAGAAGAAAGCTCCTTTCTTTCTTGGTCAAGGGCGAGAGCTCCTGTCAATCTCCTCCTCCTTTTCAAAACATGGAGGAAAGCTTACGATCAAGTAGAAAGGACGGAGCTCTTCCCATCGTCAAATTTTCACAACACATGTCTGGTCCTCCCCGTGGCCTTCAAAAGAATATGAATCCCTCTACCTCATCGTTGAAACAAGAAGAGAGCTCACTCTAAGTTATTCTTGGTAGGAGAGTTTCTTTCTAGAGAGCTCCTTTACCTCTTCGTAAGTCTTCATCATGCAAGAAAGCTTCCTCCAAGTTCCTCTCGGTAAGAGAAGAGAGCTTCTTTGAAGAAGAGAGCCGCCTTACCTCTTGCTAGGCCGCCTCTTATTCTTGAGAAAATTGAAGAGACCTCCCAGAGCACCCTCAGATTTCAACAACAACGCATAATAATAAGTTCTCTATCATCGACTTCACGAGAAAGAAGAGAGCTTCGATCAGAAGAAAGCTCCTTTCTCACTTAAGGGCGAGAACTCCTGATCATCTCCTCCTCCTCTTCACAAAAGATGGAAGAGAGCTCGCTCTCAGGACAAAGGACGCAGCTCTCCCAACCTTCACACCTTCAAAAGACGAAGTCTGGCTCTCGGCAACATTTGCCGCGATTAGCTGTTTCCCGATTCACATATAACCACGAACAAATCAATCGTAGCAAATTTCGACCAAGAATCGGTTGGCGAAGTTTGCTGCGATTAGCTGTTTCCCGACATAAACGAGCAAGTCAATCGCAGCAAATTTCGCCCAACAATCGGTTGGCAAATATAACCACGAAAAAAATACAGCAAATTTCGTCCAAGAACCGGTTGGCGAAATCTGCTGCGATTGACTGTTTCCTGATTTAAAGATAACCACGACCAAGTCAATCGCAGCAAAATTTGCCCAAGAGACCGGTGGGCGAAAGTTGCTACGATGGGCTGTTTCTTGATTTGAACTGCTTCCTGATTTAAATAAAACCACGACCCCCCCCCCACACCCGGACCGCCATGGACCCCCCATAGGATGTATTTCTTTAGTTGGTGCCAGGCATTAACCAGTGTAAATATCTTCTAGAAATTGAATAGTTTAAATCCTGTGGGGTTGGCCTCCGGACTCCCCGGACCCCTTTGAATTATTTAACTATTTAACTGGGGCCTGGAATTCAATACGCTAAAAAAATTTAATCTGGCGCAGGCCTCCGGATTTAATTTCTTTAAATTTCTTCAATTAAATTGGGGCCGGGAACTACATAATTTAGATAATCAATTCTGGCGGCGAGGCCCCCGGATCCCCCGGGCCCCCCTCCCCAGAAGTTACAGTATTTAAACTATCTAATTGGGTCCGGCAATAAAGCAATATAAATCTGGGGCCGGCCTCTGGATTTAAATTAGTGCAATTATTTAATTTGGGCCGGTAATTCACATAATCTCAGTCCTGGGGGGTAGCCCCCCGGACCCCCTGGACCCCCCCAGCCCCTCCTCAGGATTTAAAGTATTCAAGTGATTTACAATATTCCAATTATTTAATTTAGGCGGGAAGTAAATAATTTAAAATCTGGGGCAGGCCTCCGGGTTTCATGGGGGGCGAAAATTAAATCTCTTAAAGAATATAAATCCTGGGGAGGGGGGTCCGGCGGACCCCCCCGCCCCCAGGATGTAAAGTATTAAGTTATTTTCATTATTTAACTGATGTGAAAAGATTTAATTTAATTGTGGCCGGGAATTAAATAATTAAGTATATTTAATCTAGGGCAGGCCTCCGGATGTTTTAAACTTTTGGAATTATTTAATTGGGGCCGGGAATTTAAATACTTGGAATAATTTAAATCCTGGGGAGGGGGGTCCGGTGAGGTTGGGGCGCATAGTAAAATAATTCAAGCAATTTAACTCTGGGGCAGGCCTCCTCCCCGGACCCCCCTGAAACCCCTCCCCAGGATTCAAGTTATAGAAATTATCCAAATTATTTGATTGGGGCCGGGAAATAAGTAATGCAAATAAGTTATTCCTGGGAGGTGGCCCCCGGAGCCCCTGGACCCTTCTCCAGGTGTTGCTTAAGTATTGATTTAAGTTATTTAATTGGGGCTGGCACTTAAATAGTTCAAACAATTCAGATCTTGCAGTGGCAACCCCTCAGACCAAAGATAGGGTTTATTTGGAAGCATCCTCTTGTGTTCCAATCAGATTTCGCAGTGTCTGTGTGTGTGTTCCTGTTTCCTCTTGTAAATACGACTTTCAGCTTCCAATACACCTGGTTTAAGCTGCACACCCCCCCTCCCCCTTTAACTCATTGTTGTGAACGGACCAGATAAGGTCCTGCACGCACTTTTGACTTAGTCTCCACTAAGTGAATGGTGAGCGACAACTCCCGCAAGCTCCACCGAGCTAGCGTTCGTGACATTCTGTACCCAGTTGCTAGCCGCAGTGCCGTGCCTGCCCTCGTGTTAACTTTCGCACGGCTTCCTGAAGTTCGCCTTTGCCTCGGCAGCTCTTGCTACACTGTATGATGAAGTGGCTCTACTGTACTACTGTGAGACTGAGTTCTATGCACCGTCCGTTGGGGGGATTGAGGCTCTGGCGCAGCAAAGCAGCACCATCGGAACAACAAGACGATGCCAGATTCCGCAGCTCCTGGCTGAAGTGCGTCTTTCTGTGCGAGTTGCTTCAGATGACGGAACTGCTGACATAAGCCCTACCGAACATGTTTCTGCTTGCGTCTGAAAGGTCTCAACAATTCCCAACTCCAACTGACTCCCCGAGAACATGCTCTACTCGGTGACGTGCACCTCTGGCGATGCTGAACTTTCCGAATCTCCGGACTGCTTGCCTTCTTCGGCCTCGACAGCTTGACGACAAATGGCGCCTGTGCTGAGCCCGAGCCCAGCGCATTCGTTTCCTCGTTGTCGCCATCCTGAAACTACGGCACCGAAGACTGGGCTTGAGGCTGCAAAGCGGCAAATTAGTGCCTCCTCCCGCTTTGTTGCATCGTTCGTCGCCACATCGTCAGCGTCTCCATTGCCATCCTCGCGGCAGCTTTCCTCGGAGTCCGTCTCCTCCTCCTCCATCGCCTTCAACTTTCTCACGTGCCTGCTCGGTGCGATTGCAAGTTCTTCATGGTTTTTCGCGGGCGGGCCAACAGGTCAAGTCAAAGACGCGGGAGCTTTCGTACTTGCCACTAGGTCCTCCGGTGAACGGAAAAAGACAGTGGACATCACAGCATCTTTTTGCTGGAAGGTAACTGACGGGTGTCTCATGCCTCGCCGTTTCCACGAACATCTGTTCAAAAGGGAATCGATCGGTCGGTAGTCCGTATGAGTGCATGGGGCCTTAAGGATATAGCCACATAGTTAAACAGCCAGTGGGCCAGTAACACAACTCAGCAAACAGCAAGACACTGCGCAAGCGGGCGTGTAATATGCAATCAAATAGCAATACCAGCCCGCCTTCAGCACGTTCAGCTGGTAATAATCAGTTGAGCTCACCGGGGCCAGCCTGAAGCGCTTGCAAGGGGAAGTTTCGAAGTTTCATGCACTGCCTGTACGCAAAAACTCCGTCCACCAATACAACACCACCGAAACCATGCGAAACAATTGATCTGCTCGACGGTGTTACGCGAGCAGCTGAGCCCGCAGCATGTTACTGGTCCGCATAGTGGCTGCTACCAGCTTGAGGCAGATGCCAAGCGGTGTCAGAGCACCACCCATTCCCTACGATCTGCAACCATGCATATAAGCGCAACTTGCATCCGATCCACTCGCAGCAGCAAAAGATCCTACTTTCCGGCTGGCATGCATGAAAAGCGGGCCAAAGTGTTGGACACCATACTTCCCTGTACACACCTACGGACCGCGGATGATTGACGAACAAAACCCGTTTGTCCGCTCAGCACTTCTGATGCCTTAGAATGATGCGCATAAACCCAGCGATCACATGCTGCACCGGCATGCACCGCCGTGCTCGTTACGTGGCAGCGCATACAAACAGGATTGCAGCATGTCTTGTCGAGCTTTCGGAAATCCAACTGACTCTCCATGCGAGAAAAGCCGCTTGTGAGATCCATCATCACCTCCAGCTGCCAACCACTAGCCAAAGGAAGCTAGCGATTCATGCATCCCTTCTCATAGCACAGCCTATGCACTGATTGAAGCCAAGGTTCAGTCTTCGTCTGACTTTCGCTTTTGAGATTCCAGAGAGGGGTCCCCCTTTGACGTCGTAACTTCCTTCAAGCTTTGATCCTGCTTAGTACACGTGGGTCACCAGACTTTGCATGGCCTGCAAAATGAGGAAGGGAAAGCGGCTACAGCGGGATAACGCAAACTTGAAAACCTCATGCCCTCTCAAACCCAAATCCGGCTGCAAGGTGAGCGACAGACACACAAGCATAAGACCCCGACAGCAAGGATCTTGAAATGAAGCCGAAATGAATGTGCTCGAACGTGGAAAGACTTTTGCATTGCTTGTGTTGTGCATCTCGGAACCGAAAATTGCAAAGCTTGAGCATTCAGCCATCCGTGGACAGCTGCATTCGTGTGCGGCATTCGTCGCATGCTACAGCATGGTGCGCTTAGGTCAATTGCGTCTATATTATATGCTCGAAGTTTCGTTTCACGTTGTACAAGAATGAAATAGGCGAGTGTGGGTCGAGAGCAGAACAATGCGGGAAGCATACAGACTCCATTCCTCCGAGTGAACGTCGAACAACATTTCGTGATAATCTAGCCCAGGACTGTTAGAAGAAATAAAGGAGCGAACGAGTGAAACAGCTGCATGCCGCGAACTGTATCCACCCATGGAGTGCACTCGCCCTCGTTGAAGATTCTGTTGGCAAGTGTTCCCATGCCCTTGAGAGACACGAGACGAGCGAGCCAGCAGAAAAAAACATAGATGCGGAAACAGTCTCGTGGAGCGAGTTTCTACAGGAAACTTGACGAATGAAACAAACAAGGTGGGCGGGACAGGACTGCGTGCCTGTTTCAGCTCGTGGCTTGAATTGTGCTAAAAGACCCCTGTGGCCCCGCGGTCAGGAACCGGTGAATCAGGGAAGTGAGAGGCTGGGAGGGCACCAACCAAGGGGCGACAGAGAGAGAGAGCGAGAACAGAAAAAGAGATCCCGATCAAAGAAGTGGTCATATGTTTACAAACCGGACGATTGGCAACCTGTCCGAAAATTGCGAAATAGCCGAGTAGCTCATGCGAGCATAGTCTTAAGCAGTAGTAGCTCGGGCTGTGCAAGGATTTCGCACGTTACCTTCTGTGGGTGGTGGGCAAGCGGAGGAAGCGGACCACACAGCACGAGCATCGGTTTGCAACACAAGACTTTATCGTGCAGAAATGAACACATGGTACGATCGTCCTCATCATCAAAACCTGAATCGTTGTCATCGTCGTCATCTTCCTCCTCGGAGTCCTCAATCAGGCCTGAACACGACCGAAAGGAAGGACCGCCTAGACTACTCTCTTCCGCCATCATCAACAATCAGTGAACGAAGACAGCATCGAAGGCAGAAAGGTCGCAGCCATCTGCTTCCAGTAAAGCACTGCTTGGCAGGTACCGAGACATGCCTGGGGATCGAGCGAAAATGATGAAAGCCGTGGTTGCTGTCAAGCATCACCACGGCACAACAAAGTTTGTTGGGCTAAGGCTGTCACCACCAAAGTCAACCTTGACCAGCTCATACTGTGGCTCGTCCTGCTGCATGCTCAATGAACAATACATTCGCCAAGCGTTATTCTGCGGAATGTATGGGTCCTCGATGGCAATTGCAAACTGCCCAGCCAATGAAGCCATTTCGGCCTGCCAGAAACCGCAAAAAGGCATCAAACGCTACGCCGAGCTTCCATACATGTGCCGGCCTTCCACGTGATCCAGGAGTTGTCTTCCACAGCTTTCTGGAGTACGTCTACTGGTGCAACCTGAGAGCTGCAAGCCCTGGGGCCCACAGCCGTTGACCCTAGACCTCCCTTGAAAAGCCAGGGTGTTCAACGGCACCCCCGCCTCAGAAGTACAGCTGTGTCAAGCGCGGTCTCGAAAGCAGTTCTTTACCCCTCTCTGTAAAACTACTGTCGTGCAAACCACCTAGGCCACAACGGCAGAACACGGACATACAAAAGGTGTGATGTAACATGTTCTTGTTGTATAAGAACTGCGCAACATGAGAGTGTCGTCGACCAACACTCAGTAACAAATGCTAGTTTGGCTGCTGACAGCATGACGTGCCTAGCTATGCAGTGGCACAATTACACATATATCAAGGGTAGACACCACTCGCGGAGCATGCCAAGCTCCACCAAAGCAAGGGTCCAACAGCGTCGAATGTTTCGGACATCTTCTTTCCCTCACCTTTCTTGGAGTGTCCAGGCCAAACTCACTGGGACCCTTCGGAAAGATCTAAGCTGCACCTGGCTAAATCCTGCTTCCTCAGGTAAGGCATGTAAATAATGGTGGATGCCCCAGTATATCCAATGAACGCACATCGCACGCTTTCCCGAGGCGAAGAACCAACTACAACCTGAGTATCTCTCGCACGCACTCCGGTTGCCATGATTCTGCCCGGCTTGCAAATGCCTCCATCTGGTCCGAATCTGCGAGTGGCGGATCACCGGCATCATCGTTAAAGATGCTCTGGTGAGTTTGAGGATCCAGGTGCACTGCATCTGCATTGTAAGCTTGCGGCGTGAAACGAAGAAGCTTGCACTCGAACAGCTACTCGAGTAGGTGTGACGATTCCGGTGGTGAGTGGTTAGACCGGCAAAGGCTGCATCCAGAGCCCTTTCTCTGACCTAAACGAGGGTCTGCTGATGCCCCTCAGGCTTTGAGTTGTATTGGCTTTTGAGATGGCCTGTCTCCTCTCGGAGGCGATGGGGGCGTCTACGACGGTCGATGGTGATTTCCGAAACCACGGAAATGGATCTTTCATTCAGCTCCTGTGCACTCAGCCGCTGCGTCCATCGTCACCTGTTTCTGTGTCATGAGAGATCTGGAGTCTGGCTCGTGAGTTCTTCTGCACTCTCTGTGGGCAAAAGTTCTATCCCGGTCATCTCCACTACGCTCGCAATGCGCGTCGGCACAAATTCGAACGAGGTCGTGGCACGCCAGCTTCCAAAGAAGCTTTGGCCGGAGATGATGCGATGTGGTTGTTGCTTCAGGTCCGGCGGCTTCGGAGGGTGCCTTTTGCTGGTTGGTTCTCGATGCAGCACTGCCATGAGTGTCACCTCGCTGGGGGACGTAGGATGGCAGCATCTCGCATGAGTTCCCTCCTTTGCGGGAGATTTGCGTATAGAAGATAGCTGATACCATTGTCGGTCGCTCACGGGCGGTTGTCATCCAGGCGGCTATTTTCAAACGACTTCCGCATGTCTCGCGGCTGACAGCCGCAGATCACAATTCGCAATAGCTGGATCGGTGGCCAAATCAGCCAAAACTGTGGCATCTCGTCCTGGCCTGCACGGATAGGCGGAGGAGGAGACTTGTAGTAGGGAATCGGTTTTGACTCGGGAGATCCTCGGGAAATCCACCTTTCGGTGCGACCTTGCAGGCGGCTGTTGATGGCATGGGGATGAATGGCGACAGCGCTGCTGAGTCGTCTGCTGGCTGCTCCCCACAACCAGTGAGAAGGAGAATCCAGAGGAAGCAAAGATTGCAGACTAATTCAGAGACTTTGGAGGGAGACACTGTGAGGTAGAGCTTTACGTAGGCTCTTCATGTGAAGAATACACTGAAAGCCAGTTGCACGAAGCGTGGATTGCAGCAGGTCGCACAAAGGGTGGATTGCAGCAGGTCGCTAACATGCAATGGTGTCCTGCCCGCCTTCCGCCCCGTTAACCCCTCCTCCCCGCCCTGCACGCGCACATCAATCAGAAGGCATTGCTGCGTGATGATTTTGGTTATTGAACCTTGTGAAGCTGTGTGGCAAAGTGAAATCGTAGAAACCTTCGCACGTCAAGCTTTCAAATAGCAGGAACAGCAACACACAAGCGTCTCTGACATTGAACATGTAATGAGGATGGAACCTGCACGGTTCGAGGTCGAGAAAGTGGATAAGAGTTGTCTTGCAAATCCATCCACTCGTCTTCCAAACATTCCCACGGCAGCCACACGCTGGCGCAGATCTTTCCCCGAAACTTGACCTCATCAGATGCCGACAGCCGAGTCGCTTCCTATGGCAAACCTACAACTCGGCGACTGAGCGTCAACAAGTTTCTTAGGCCAACATCTCTTGCGAAAGGCCTGCCTGCGCTGTCTTGTCAGACGGATCATCCTGCAGCACCTGACGGCGCTGTCTGCAACTGGTACAGGCACCGGGAAAGAGCCAAGGGTGGAAGAAACGAAAACGGCGTCTCAGCGCAGCCACAAACATTGCAAGACGTGCCTTGCCCCGCTGCTCGCAAATGGACAACAGGCGATCGTCCCAATTGATGGTCTTGTGTGCCTTGGAAAACTGCACGACTCTGTAATTTCGCTGGTCCACTGTCGCACAATGCCACATGCACTTCCTTCACTTCAACTCTGCATGCTCTTGGCCTCGACAGCGGGCCGCAGTGCATCTGCAGCGACCACTCGCACAACTCGCATGGCGCGCTCATCAACAAGACCCTGGCACCGACACTGGCATGCAGTTCTAGACAGAACAGACAACGAGCAAAGAGTCAAGCAGCGAATGCTGTCGTCACACATAAAAATGCGTCAACATGGTTCTGTAAATCGTGGGATGCACGAGATCAGGTCATTACCTGAAACGTGGTCAGGAGCTTTCGAAAGAATCCAGACTCTTGTCTCGGGATGGGGGTTGCTTCAAGAAGGTTTGCTTGGAGTGATCTCCGAATAGACCTTGCCGAATCTTGCCGGCCCAAAGCGCCAAAATAATTATGACGACTGCTCAGTTGTTGTCATCTTGACCTAAACGTCCATGGCCATGAGTTTCCCAGCAAATCGCACTTCTTGCCAGGCTGCTAGGCTATGTCCGGCTACAGCTGCTTTAAACTTGTGGCATCTTCAACCGCCAGGAAATCGCCAGGATTTTCAGTCAAGCACTGCCATTTAGCCTCACACGTCTCGTGACTTCGGCGTCTGCGAACTTGTGACTTGAGTTGCGACTTCGCCTTATCACATTTCCTCGATCCTGAGTTTAAGCTTGCTCATGATGGATCCTTTTCTGCGGCCCATGGCGTGCCACTTCCCACTCAAGCATAAGAGCTTGCCACTCTCGAACCCCTCCGACTTCAGATTGTGCTCAGGGCGAAAGGTTTGCCACCCTATCCGCCACAACCACCCTTCTCCAAAGTTCAAACTTGCCACTCCCCAGTCCTTGTAGGCACATGGGCCGCATGCGGTTTACTGACCGATGCTCTTCTTGGTTGCGTCTGGTTTCCGATACCGTCGCGAAAGAAACTCTTGCAAAGAGCACCTGTGCCCGAGCCACTGCTAACAGCTCAGGATCTTCTTCGACCAAGTTCAGAAGCTCATCTCGCCTGCAGGCTTTTCGGTCGCGACGCGCAGCCCTGCAACAGTCCACCAGCACCGTCTGGGATGCCCGCGTCATATTTTGAAGGTCTAGAGCCGGAACTACATCCGTGCCTAACAGGGAGCATACGATTGCTCTCGAATCGAGGCTCAGCCCTCATATACCTCATGAAAGCTGTCTCCAACGGAATGTCGACAAGCTTGCGCCATCGGAGGTCGGTGCGAAGTGCTGAGGCTCTGTCCATCAAGCCACCTTGGTACCAGTTGGCATACGGAGCATATCACCGAACTCACGGTCCTTCAGACTACCTGGGTGTCCACTAGCTAGCTTGTGAATGCTGCAACGTCTTTCTGTTAAGAACTCCTCCTATAGCAACAGCATCTGCTGGCAGAACTCCCCTCCTGTGCCACTGCTCACCGATTCACTCACAAATCCTTGCTTGCAAGGCAGCAGCATCCGTATTACATTCCTCGCTGCTGAAGCATGGGGGTCACGAGTAAGGTTTTTCGAACTCGAACCATTGAAAGTTTGAGCGAATCAATATATCGCAGGGACGACTGCAGGGTCGGGTTCAAGATATGAGATCAATCGCCATCCTAACGGGGACGGGGTTAAGATATTCTGAGATTACTGTAACTGCACTGGCCCAACGGGGGGCCGGCCTTAAGACATGGGATCAACCTGGCTCGCCTAACGAGAAGGCGGTTTGAATGATTTGACACAGGAAATCAACCACCGTCGTCTACTGAAGGGGGCGGGCTCAAAGTGTAAAATGAGGCACCGCTGCCCAACGAGGGGTTGGGTTAAAGACAGTTTAAGAAAGGAGCTGAACCGCCACCTTTCAACGAGGGAGCGATCTTGAGATTGGGACGGACCAGCTGCGGCCTTTCAATCTTTGAATCTTTCATTGTCTGTCATACCTGTTGCAAACTCTCTAGCTTTCGAACTGGCCGCGAACCCTTTAAGCTTTTGAAACTTCCAAACCGTCGGACTCTCAACCTCTCGAGCTCCCAACTCCCATGCCGTTAGAACTTTCAAACTGTCAAACCTCCGAACTCCGCATGTCTCACTGTCAATCTCTCGAACCCGGTGGCCAGCCGCGAAATTTGAAGCCATCCTTGCAAACTCCAAACTTTCAAACTTTTCAATGTTCGAACTTTCGACCTTTCTCATTTCGAAACTGTCGAACTTTCAAGCTCGAAGCTCCCGAACCTGTCAAACCTTCGAACTTTCAAACATTCAAAGTTTCAGACTCCCGAACTTTGAGAGCTGTTCGAACTCGGCAACGGCTTAAGTTTCGACCCAGGGCAGGGCCATGTAAGGCACACGTAGTCCGCGCATCTGTGGTGCACGCGTGCTCTGGTGCATCTAAGGCGCACACAGAATTGGGATTTCAGCACTCACACTCGGACAAGCCTAAGCGAGGATGTCTGGTACAGGGCGAGAGCACATTGGCCATGCATGCATTCAGAACCCGTGTTGGATCCTCCACGGCGTCAGACTAGGACCCCTGCACTGTTTCACGCGGTCTCTATACATGCAAGTAGCCCAGTCTTTCTCCAATTCAACAGACAAACATCCACTATGATCTACGAATTCACCTCCCTCGACATTGGCGTGTATTGTGATGAGCAGCTAACCACTCTTGACCACTAGCATCCTTCCAGCAACAACGTTGTGTTCATGCAGATCTGGCTTCCTGTTCGCATCCCTTTATCATGCAGTAAATTCCCGTAGTCTTCTTGCACAGTATGAATTCGTGTTCTTGTGCCTGAACATCCTTGCAGCATCGATTCATCTCGCATTTGTGCCAAAGAGCTATGCCTTCAGTGTGGGCCTCTTGTGGGGCCCTTGAGGCTCTCTTGGCCCTTTTCCAGATAGCGCAGACTTGCAGCCCATGAGTGATTCAGGGATGTGTCCATCCACCGTATTCTGTGACGGGGCGAGGCAGATGGCGCAGTCTCGCGGCCCCTCATCAACCACCCCTTTTTGGTCATGCAATAAATTCGCATGCTCTATATTTAGGGTTTAGGGGCTTTTAATTCCAGGTTTTAAGTTTGGGCGTTTCGGATTTGGGGTTTAAGCTTCTGGGGTGTTGGATTTAGGGTTTCAGGGTTTGGATTCGGGTTTAGGGGGTTTCGGCTTTAGGGTTCAGGGGTTTTGGATTAGGGGCCCGACTCGACAGGTCGCGCGCTGATAGCTCGCTGTGGTGCAAAAACATGCCTGCCCATGGCAAGACCACCCATACTGGGGTTGGGGGGCTCCAATCTGCGTCCTTGTGGCGAACCGCTCCAAAGCGTGAAGGGTTGGGGGGTCCTATCCTTGTCTTTTTGCGGGACCGCTCCAAATCGCGAAGGGTTGGGGAGCCTTACTCCTGGAGCCGTCGAAATGAGGGGAACCCCGAGATCGGCCGACAGCCCAAGAAGAAATCAGCTGCCTGGAAGGGAACAGCCCCCCAAGCGTCAAGATTTTTTGGGGGTGTCCTATCCTTGTCCTTTTGGGAGCCGCTCCAAATTGTAAAGGGTTGGGGGCTCCTGTCAGTGTCCTTTTCGGAAGGCATTCCAGATCGTGAAAGGCTGGGCGGCCCGCCCATCCTTGTCCTTTGCGGAGCCAAATCGTGAAGGGGTTGTCACAAGGAATGTGCTGGGGTCCTATCGTTGTCCTTTTGGGGAGCCGGTCCAAAGCGTGAAGGGTTGGGGGGCTGCATCCTCGTCCTGGTGGCACTGCTAGTTGTTAGGGTTCGGGAGAGCTCCGTGTCCTTTTGGGGGGTTGCTCCAAATCGTGAAGGGTAAGTTGTCGAAACGAAGTGCCAGCCAAAAACCTGGTTTAGGGTATTTACCGTTACCACTCCGTGGGAGGTGCCCGAGGGGCCGGCANNGGCAGGCATGGTGCCAGTCGCCTAGCTTTACCCAGGCTCCGCGTAGGGGTTTCTGCCGCTCGCGAAGCTCGGGCCGCTTCGGACTCCGCGGTGGCGGTTGTTGAGTCCTCAGCGAAGACTTGTTTCCCTCTGGGACGAGGTACAGGGGTTTTGATTTCATGCGACTCTCACAAGGGCTTAGGATTTGGGGCTTAAGGGTTTTGGATTTAGGGTTTAGGGGTTTGGGAGAGTCGTTTCGACTCTCACACTCGCACAAGGCTGGCAAGGCTAGGGTTTAAGGGTTTAGGGCTTTTGGATGTAAGGTTTAAGCCGCCACCAAAGATCTAAGGTTTAGGGTTGGGGCGGGTTTGTGATTTTTCACGGTTGAAGGTGATTCAATTGTTAGGCCTTTTCAGGGTTTAGAGTTTGTAAGGGCTCAGGGTGTTTTAGGCTTCAAACCTTTTGAGTGTTAATAGGGTTTGGGGAGATTGGGCTTTAGGGCTTGGGGGTGAGGGCTTAGGCTTCAGACGACGTTTGCATGGTTAGCAGGCAACCAACTATAGTCCAGTCATGCTACTATTGCCAGTACTATTGTACTGTACTTCTATATCACTGTCAAATCACTATAGTACTACATTACTATGGTTTATAACACAATAATACTATATTCCATATCATTATTGTTGTATACTATCGTATTGTGTTATTGTATAGAATTATAGTACAGTAGTACTACATTACTATATTATACCATAATGCCACAACTACTATATATTACGATGGTATGGACTACTATTACGACTGTGGTTCAACTAGAACATCGCTAGGAGTCCTGACCCCAAGCTCCAAGTTCGCTTAGGGACTAGGGGTTTGGGTCAAGCTGCCTGACTCGGTCAAATTCGGTTTTTGGGCCTCGGAAGTACTTGCAACACCGAGTCTTACTTGGCCAGAAACTCCAGACGCGGGATCGGCGGCCTGACGCACGCTACCCTTTCGGAGCCCAGAAAGCTGTCGGGCGGAGCGCATACGTCCTCGCCTGCGTGCACGTTGGACAAAAATCCACGTGCACCTTGGAAACAAACCACGCGTGCACCTTAGACGTCGCGCCCGTTTCGAGCTTGAGTTCGAAGCAGCGAATCGAGCTCGAAAGTGTGACGGTTGCATTGAGAATCTGAAAGTTCGACGGATTCGATGAAGAGTTCGAAGTGTGACGCCCGCTCGCTTGCGCATACAATGGAGCCCGAACTTTCGAACTCCAGCACCTTTTTTTCACAAGGGACTCAGCCTTGAAAGCTTCAAACTTCGAACCTTGAATCTCTCAAACCTTCGAGTTCGTTCGTTTGGGACACCATTCCGGATCAAGCCCCCCTGTTCCCGGCAGCTGCACAATCATTTGTGACTACAGGCGAAACCTGTAGCACAAGCGAATTGAGAGCTGCAGCAAGGAAGCAGCACGAAAGAACTCTGACGGCGATTGCTGCAAACCTGTTCTACGTTGCGGAGGCGGTACTTCACACATGATTTCGAAGTCCTACCAGTGACACTGCGTTGCCATGCGCCTGTCTGTTTGAATCTGCATCACCCAGGAGCCGCACTCTTTGAACCATTGGATGCGCTCCACACTGCCTCGGCTCGGAGAGCTCAAAGCTAGCAAGGGCTGAGCACCCGTGGCAGAGAGAGCGTGCACCGCGCACAGTGCAGACTTCCTTGCAGCAGAGGTTCCTTCAGCAAGTGTGTCAGGGGGGCCAGAGTCAAACTGGATCAGCTCAGCTTGTAGTTCTGCCATGGCGGGATCCTGCTGAAACCCAAAGGCCCCAAGGTGCATCTGCTGGCTCCGGGGGCATGGGCATGGCCCAAGGCAGCTTCCGTTGGCTGCCTGGCTATCCTGCTCCTGGCCCCTCCGCGTGGTCCAGAGCATCGTAGCCAATGACTCCAAAGTGACAACTCACTGACGGCTCTACGAACATCCCCAGTGGACCGATGGCACAGCCATGGCCTCCGCTCCGTTCTCGGATTCTTTCTCCTTCTCTGCTCCGTCCTGAACCTGACAGCAGGAAGACCCTTGCCCGCGGTGGTTGCTCAAACAGCACATGCCATTCTCCTCTCGGTGCTTGCTCATCTCCCTCGCTTGCCGCGAGGCCATGGTGTATCTCTGCTCCACCTGGACATCTCTTCTCTGTCTTAATTAAGCACCGGCGGTGCCAAGGCATCTGGTTTCTCTTCTCCGGACTCGAGAAAATTGAGCTCTCGGCTGCAGCTTCTATAGTAGAACCCGCTCGTGCTGCCATTGCCGCGTAAGCCTGTACGCAGCGCAAGCGACGTGCCAAACTGCTGTTTTCCCGTGACATGCTGCGTGCCTTTCTGAAAGCACCATGGGTGGGCTCGCTGAACGGTCCTGGCCACAGCTCCTGGAGCTCTGAAAGCGGAATACTTCGGACAGCCTTGTGCAGCAGCTGCAGTAAAGAACTAGGCATTCAAACATTTTTAGCAGTTAGTAGGTTATTGCTTATTCGGTTGTCCGGCAGCAATTTGCCGGCCAGTACTAGTAGCTTGGATGCATGTTTCCTCGGTCCTTTTTTGCACTCTCTGCTGCCTGTTCTCGTTGTCGCAGCAGAACAATCATGCAGGAGAGGTTGTCCTTCAGCAAGGGGTATGCAGCCGATCCGAGTTGCAGTGGCCAGTTAACAAGGTATCAAGTATCAATGACAAATCGAAGCTGCAGCTACTTAGTTTGGTGTTGTCGGGTGTACCTGGTGCAAGCGCTAACGCATAAATGCATAGTATCACTTGAGGAGGACAGGGCCTAACAAAGCTTCTGCTGCATGGTTTTGGACAGACTGCAGGGAGGTCCATCGAACCAGAATCGAGAGCTTTGCGGCACACAGCCGCCGCCGCCTCCGCGCAATGCAGTTACGATGAATTCTCAATAAGGCAGGAACTCAGCATGGCTGGTTGCAGCTCACCGTCGCGGGATCTTTGGACCGCAGCTCTTCCGCTGCCAGCCGGACCTTGACTCTTAGTTCGCATGATGAGAACCACATCTGCGATGGCCTCAGCTTCCAGCAACCTCTCTATTTGGAAAGTTGCCCTCGGAGATGCCGTCCTTGCTCACTTTTGGAATCACTTGAAAGTCACATGAGAATTCTGTGGCGCGATTCACCTGGCACGACCGGAATCTCACTGAGGCATGCTCGCATACTAGCAACAGAAAGTCAGAAGGTGCACAAGTCATCGTCGTGAATTCAGGCTCAGCCTAAGGCAGGTTCATAGTCAACTTGGTACTTGGCACATATTATGCACTGCGAAAGCTAGCTGTGCCAGACCGGGGTCTGCACTGAGACGGGATGGTCCTCCTGCAACAAAGCATGCGGCGCGCCAGAATTATGAGACAACATCCACATCCACAAAGCCGAGCAGACAGTGTGACTTGTCCTGCGCCGGGCCACCGGTCTGCTTGTGCTGTGCATCGCCAAAGGCTCGGCTCACTGCCAGATCGCCATTTACACGGGCGACACCCATTATTGTCTGAACCTCGCCATCAGTCCATGTGTGAGACATGCTAGCAGCGTAAGTCCGACGCACCACTGAGGCGTGTGACTGTTCCGCCGGTTCGGGCTATCCTCTCCTCTTCCACCTGCTTGGACGAGTGCCGTGATTGTTCTGCTCTGTTTTGAGGCCGCCCCGTCGCAAACCTTGTTGTCGGGCTTGTGATCCGTGGTGAGTCCGCCGTCAGTGCCAGGACCTGTCAACAGCAAACCCACTTTCTGGAACACCGGAACACATGCAAAGCAGCTCTGCAGTTCGAACCTGCAAAAGAAGTTGAAACCAGGCCTTCCACCATGGAACCATCTGCCCTTCCCAACAAGACTCGACTGTCTCCGATGTTGCCAACCTTACACTTCATGTAAGAGTCAGGGCACACGTGCAAGCTGCAAGTCGGACATGCTGCACTCAAGAATGCCTGGATGAAGCGAAGACTCTCGGAGGAAACGGATGCTGCACAGGTGATGCTTTGATGGTCTCGTCATCAGTCAATGAGGAAAAAGATAGAGAGGAAACGAACACGAACCGGAAAACACGATAGTCACCGGGATGAAAAAACACATGCGCCCTTTCAACCATGCGTGCGCGAATTCATCTGCATGCACCAACACACAAAGGCACCATCGACTAAGCTGAATACATGGTTCAAAACACTGGAAAAGCAGAGCTGCACATAATGCCCGTGCTCATCCAGTGCTGCAAGTCACACGACACGGGAGATGCAGACCAACACACGCTCACACTACCAACACCTTTTTCATCAGCGCACAGAGCAGCTCAGCAGAATGCAGTCGTGCAAAAGGCTTGAGCAATCCATATACCTTCTAGCGCTTTGTGGCCAAAGCTGGCCAGTCCGCCAGAAATTGTTCTGCACTGATGCTTCCCTGATAGAACTAATGCACAAACCTAGCCCATCTCAGCCTCGTCGAGCAGCTCCCAGACTCGCTGACGGATAAAATCCGCGTCCACCTAAAAATACAAAGCCAAAACAAGCTTAGGGTGTTAACTCAGCGGTTGTGCAGAAGGGGCGTGGATGGCGCGGCGAAGCTGCCAAGCTGCCAGGTGTGATGTCAGTTCGTGCATGAGCCACAATAGTTGCAAAATGAACCCCGAAACGGCCGGGTTCGTGAGTTTTGTGCGTTATTGTAGGTGTTATTCGGAACACCGAAACTAGGCAATGCTTTGATCTATTACTTAATACTCTAAACAAAACGTTGCAAATCGGGCCTATAAGGCTGATTCTGGGTATGGGAGCGATCTGGGGAACGCGCAGCTTACACTGTCAGAGCAGGGAGGCACGTGAGTGCGTGTGTGTGTGTGTGTGTGCATGTGCGTGTGCGTGTGCG